TTTTCCCGCCAAAACTTTCACCTCCTCGTACACGGGGCCCAGAGTTGCATGAGGGTTGGTACCGTGATCCTGTGGTGCACCTGGCCGAGGAATCCGCCTGTAAAATTTTGGCGCTGGAGGTTGCTTGGGTGCCGAGTTAAAATACCCGGACAGACGCACGTACACACACATACATACACACGCACACACACACACAGCGGGGTCGTCACAGTATGCGTTTTCGCATTTGCCTATAAAACGCATAAAAATGAAATAAATCTATATAGGAAACTGGGATATAATTTCAAATTATTTGGTCTACGGCAATGTATTATCATCAACTGACCGTTAAATGATCTGTAAAAAGCACTGATAATAGCTTTGCTAGAGCACGTGACTGTTAGTAGCAGAATGCCGCCACTGGGATTACTGTTAGGGCTTTCAATTGTTTTTCAAGAGCAGCTGTGAGTTCCTGAATATTTTGAGCCACATAAGGAGGGAATGTACTGCTTTCCCTTCATTGGTACGCATCAAAATGTACTGGATTTATTAAAACTTGAGCTATATTTAGTGAATAGTACGGTTCAAAACGGCAGGCAATTTTACTCAAAGAATGTAGGCCAGGAAGAAAATTTGGGCTGCTTATGTGGCAGAAATGAGAGGCAGCAGATGGACAAACCGGATTATCAAACGGTATTCGTGCAATGTTAAACGAACACGGGAAAGACAAGTACATTGGGCAGATCCAACTAAACTACTATGTAAAATTATATCGATAAAAGAAGCCCAAAATAAAGAGAAGTGGAGAAGTTGCTAGCTGCATCAATGATGAGAAGGAATATCGCAATGAAACAGTCGCTGATCATAATTATCAAAGCACAAAAAAAGCTATGAATATGGAAGTATAGACGTTTGAAAGCTTATTTTGAATCGCTTACCCTCCGTATTGCGCTTCAAAATTGATATTTAGTTTAAGGTAGGCTTGAAATCACTGCTCAGGATTATGCTGCTCTGATTATCATATACTGCATAGAAGATAAAAATTTCAAAATCCATATTCGTGTCATTTGTTTTTTTTCTGAATTGCAAGTCAGGCGGTCGAGAATCTTACTGAATTATTTAGCATTTCTAGCCAAAAAAATTCTGTATTTCTGGATTCTGATTCGGAAGATTATTTCGGAACTATGTTCATCATATTAGCCTTCTTGCCTTTTAAAGTCAGTAATTCAAATAGCTAAATGTATGTAAGCATACATGCGTATGATCATGCATATATTTTTTACATATATAAATACATGTCTACCACACACTTATACCTACGCAAATACAGTTGTGCGCACATACATAAATACATCTGCAGACATACGGTGCACATATATACCTACATGCTTATCTACCTACCCACGCACATACATACAAACACACATGCATCGCGCAAAACATACGCACAGTAATAACGGTTTCTTCAAAAAAATAGGTTCGACGTCCTCCTTTCTGGAAAAGTAATTTTAGAAAGAAAGCGAATCCTCCTTTTATCAAAAAACCTCTACTCCGTCGCATTACTCGCTCGCTTGCCCTCATCTTGTGAATCCACAGCTTATGCCTGCCTCCTACCAGTCGCGTGGATTCAGCTTCTCACCTTGGCCGCACCGGCAATGGACGACAGCATGCCGAACATATCTGTCGTCGAACAGACTGCTTCACACTTGGAGACTTGCAAATGACTGAAGAAACGACCCATTCATCTATTTTATGCTCTAAAAGTGACATGCAAATTTGCATATATGAAAACCTCCAATTCACAAAAATTATGTAAATTTGTTAATAGGCATTCTGCACTGTATATTTTGCTTAATTGAACTGCAAGTAGCGTCTGACGCACACCGGTGAATAACACTCATTGTGCTCTACTATCTCCAGCACATTTCGCAGTTACTGCAGCGC